AAACAGTTGGAGGGGAGGTATCTGCCTGGTTAATGGCTGTGCCAGACTGTTTGTAGGGCCGGGGAGGCTCAGCGGTTCCTGAGGGCTGTCACACTGATCACACACAGCAAACCAGCCCCTGCTGCTCCCAGCCAGCCCTGATATGCCAGTCAGGCTTTGCTATCAAGTCCAAGCTTATGTGTGCTCCACATGTGCCTTCAACTCACTGGCGTACCCAGTAATTTAAAAGTGTTCATAGACTCTACAAAATTAATATTCATACTCATAAATTTCGTAGAGTCTAAAAAATTCCAAGGGGGAACCTTTGTTCCTAATCCAGAGCAAGTTTCCTGTGGCAGATCAGGCTCCCAACATAGATGTACAATTGTTAAGCAGTTGGTTGCATTTCAGGGGTGGTAAAATGATCCTTGGTTTGTATTTCTCTACTACAATCTCCACAAAGGCTGTGAGATTCTTTGGGGTGGAAGGAGGTAAAACTGTGAGTTGCTACTAATTATATTGACTTGCATGATTTTCTATATGCTCATTTTGCACTGCAGAAATATTTAGGAGGAAATGTGCTCTTTCTTCCACACATCACTGCATTAGATTTGAGAGGATTTAGCACATTTTCTGATTTCATTTGCCAAACTAGGGGTTTGTGTTTAAAATTTACAGCTGACTTTGAATTCCAGGAATTAATCATGATTACCAATCATGTCTCTGTCTTGTAGTAACACACCTAACCAAGGATAGATATATTGGGAGATCTGAACTTTCACCTCAAGGAGCAAATATAAGATTTCCTTTACAAAGAAGCTCTGTTTAGTCAATTCTTGAGGAAAACATGCAGTTGCTTAATCATTATCATTAATCATTATCAGCTGCTGCCAAATCCCCCCAGTTTTATTAATTAGCCTGACAAAGTCATTACCATGGGAAGGCTGCAAAGATGTAACTCCCTGATTTGTGAGCACTCAGTACTCAGGCACTGCATGGGGAAGATGCCACAGTTTTGCAGCTTGAACTGTGCAACCTGAAATTCAAGCCAGAATCCTGACTCTGTAACATGTAATATGTAATGTAATATGAGGAATGAGCTGTTTGTGATATAGGCAGCACAGCTACTTGGACAGTGCAGTTCAGGGAAAAATGTTACTGTTATGTTTGATGTAATCAGAGTAGTTGATAAAGGTCTTACAAGAAGATGAGAGAAGAAGGATGTAAATCTTCTCTGAATACATTCACACCCCTCCCCGTATCTCAGGATTATAACTGTACATTTATCCCCTTAACAGTTATTCAAGGACTAAAACTGCCTTAGAGGTTTAGAAAATGAAAAACATTAGAAAGAAGTGAAGGGAAGTAACTGAATATTTACCAATTAAACTTTCAATTTTTTGTTGTGTGTTTGGGGTTTTTTTTTTGTTGTTATTTTATCAGGGATATTAAACCCAGTTATGTATTAGGTCTGAGCATCACCTGTCATTTCTGAAAGTCTTGTGTAACAGCAGGTAACTCATGTAACAACAAGGCTTTGTGTCACACAGATACCACTCTTCCTTTGTAATGAAACTCCGTGGGGTTTGTGTACATACACAGAGGAGCAGTTTCAGGCTGAGTTGAGAGCTGTGTTGCCATTTGCTCTTTCACAATATTTGAGTCATGTTCCTCCTGAGTGAGCAGCAAGAACAAACACTAAATGAAATCAGCTGCAGAAGCCACTGGGTGCTCTCCTCTCATCCTTCCCAGGGCTTAACAACAACCCTAACTCAGAGGCTTAGTTTTACTTCTTCACTTTTCCATAGAGCAAAGAAGAGAGTGCAGAGAGGGCATCACTCTGGGAATTGTCAAATTCTTCGAGCCAAGCCCCAGCAGCAAGTGAGCACCTGTTGTTTTGAGACCTTTTATGAAATGTGCCCAGAAGTTAGACCATAGTTGGGCTGTATAAGGGAGGCTCTGTTTGGAAAAGGAGAAAATCCAAGCTGTTAAAGCAACAGTACCTGGTCAGTGGGAGGAAAGGGATGTAGAAGTGGAGAAGATGTACTGATGTTCACATAACCTTTGTAACAGGAAGAGAACTGAGGAAGAGTTAGGACAAAAGGTGTTTTAGGAAGCTGGGAACAGCACATCACCAGCACTAAACTGAAGCAAGCAAGCAAAAAAAAAAAGAAACTATGTGAAAGAACACCTCTTCCTTCCCCCAAAACTGAACTCTCTGCTTTCTCTTTTCATATGAAAACACAGGTTTGTATTTTGTGTCTAAAATGAAATATGTTTAATATTTATATATTAATCATTATCTATTTTGATATTTTAATATTTGCATATATTTACATTCTTTTAAATATATATAATTAATATGCACTTTTTTCTTTTATAATATCTAGTTTTGGGGCAGTATAAACAAATAGTGGAAATGTGTTTTTAACAGTATAGCAGTTCAAATTAATGATTACTTGACTTTGGATATATCAGTGGATCACCTTGATTATCTACTTCAGGAATACCAGGTAATTTATAGACTAAACAATGGATTTTAGTAGGGAGCTGGCAGATACTGCTTGGATCTTTATGTTCCTTCTTGGAATTAGCCTTCAAACTTTGCACTGCTATTTCAAATTACAGACCTTCAAAGGCTAATCTAGAGAAAGACAAAATAACAGTAAATTACAGGTGAGAAATGAGGAAAAAGAAACCCCAAGGAAATAAACCTGCATAGTCAAGAGACCCAAAGGAAACAGGAGGAAGAAAACCAAGCCCTACACACGAGCTTACCTTTTCTGAATGGGAAGATATCCATTTTAATTGATGTTGGGAGGTGCAGGCAGAGTATGAAAGGAGTTACCTTGGTGTGAAGGGCTTCAGAAAGGCCTTGGGACACCCCTCTTGGGAAGGATATGATAATCTTGCATTTATAAAGCTGTGATGCTTTGCTTCCCTTTTGTGACCAGTGGTGGTCATTGCTGTGTGTGAAACCAGAGGACGAAGGGATGGCAGCTCCTCTCTGCTTGTCTTTGCCCAGGGAAGCACAACCCAAATCCTGGACATGTGGCAGCTGTTGTGGGTGGCAGTGGAAGCAAGGACAGAGCTGGTGGGAAGTGACAGCTGGGAATACAAAAGGAAAAAAACAATTGGGATTTGGAAGAAACAGGTGGGAGTAGGAACCAGAAAACTAAAGTCAAGACCCCTGAGGAGGCAGGAACTAATCCAGGCCTTGTTGATTCCTTGTAAGGGCAATTTGATGAGGCAAAAGAGGAAACAAGCAGGGAGAATGGGCTGATGTGTGACTGAGAAGCAAATACAAATGGGAAATTCCTATTTCCTCGAAGCTGTACTTGTTTCTCAGCCCGATCTGTGTCATAACACTCGTCTATGACTGATGTGGTGCTGATTTCAATAGAAAAGAGTGACTTGGCTGTTCCTTTAAGAGCAAACCCGGGTAAGCTGTAGCTGTGAAGCTGCACTGAGCTCTTCCATGACAGGTGGACAGGAAAGGGACAAAATGGGTTATTTAAAGTCCTGCTGCTCTGGGTGCAGTGGCAGGTGCTGGCAGGCGGCTCCGTGACCTTCTGGAGCTGTGCTCCCACAGTGACGGGCTGGGTGTGACTGACAGGGCTCTGTGCCCTCAACCAAGTTATTTATATGGGCTTGTTTAGTCTTGAGGAGGCTCAGGGGGGACCTCATCACTCTCCACAACTACCTGAGAGGAGTTTGTAGTGTGGTGGGGGCCACTTTCTTCTGCTGTGTCTTCAGCGAGAGGAGCAGAAGAAATGGCCTTAAGCTGAGATGGGCAATTCAAATCAGACATCAGAACAATATTTTCACTGTTCAGGTGTCAGGCATTGGAATGGGTTGCCCAGGGAGGTGGTGGAGTCACCATGCCTGGAGGTGTTGGGTGTGGTGCTGGGTGATGTGATTTAGGGGTTACAGAGCACTTGGTGCACAGTTGGACTGGATGATCCCAAAGGTCTCTCCCAGCCTTGGTGATTCTGTAAGTGCTTTGGGACACATCCCAGCTAAAGGAGGCAGCACAGGGAGACAGGGATCACTACATTCCCAGGGGGAAACACGATTTCACCGGTGACACTGGCGGCTCTGAAGCCGCTTTTTGGGACCATTTGGGACCATCTGGAGACAGGTGCCCCCGAACACCATTGCTGCCCCTTCTCCTTCCCCCTGCCCGTGCCGTGTGTCGGTGCCTGCACACGGGCTGGGGAGGGGGGGCGGCCGTGAGGGGACTGGGGGGGGGGGGGG